TGCTCCCTGCTGCTAATGGCAACCTGCTTCTCCCTGCCTGCTGCCCTGGGGACCCCTCGCCTGCCCCCTTTGCTGAGACCCCTCTGGGGGATCCCCCTCGTCCCGTTGGGAGCAGAAGGCAGACACGGATGGCAGCCGTGAGTTGTGGGAAGGTGATCTGTCCCCTCTACTCTGATGAGGCCACACCTGGAGTTCTGTATCCGGTTCTGGGCCCCCCTGTACAAAAAATGGAATGATGAGAGAGTCTAGCAGAGGGCTGTGAGGATGGTGAGGGGACTGGAACACCAGGGAAGGCTGAGATACCTGGGTCTGCTCAGCCTGGAGAAGACTGAGAGGGGATCTTGTAAATGCTTATAAACATCCAAAGGGTGGGTGTCAGGAGGATGGGACCAGACTTTCCAGTGGTGCCCAGTGACAGTGGGCACAATGAGCAACACAGGAAGTTCCATCTGAACATGAAGAAAAACTTGCTGACTTTGATGATAACAGAGCACTGGAACAGGCTGCCTGTGGTTGCTGTGGAATCTCCTCTGGAGCTACTCAAAACCCATCTGGACACGACCCTGTGCCACCAGCTGTATGTGACCCTGCTTGAGCAAGGGGTTGGACTAGATGATCTCCAGAGGCCCCTCCCAACCCCCACCACTCTGTGACTGTGGAGGGACCTGGTGATCCCCAGGCAGCTGCAGTCACACGAGGCCCAGAGCAAGCGCCTGAGGTACCTTCAGCCCAGTGCTCTTTGTCCTCAGGTGCTGTGATAGCTCCTTGGGCCAGGGGGGCCTTGTCTCCAGTGTCAGGGGGGAGCTCTGGGACTGGGCAGGAGCTGGTGACTGCCTGGAGAGCCCTCCCTGGGGTCAGGGAGCCACAGACCCCAGGTTTCCTGAGCTGTGCCTGGGCAGCCAGGGGTGCTGCCTGGACCACCCAGCATCCATCCTGGTCCCTCTGCAGGGACCCTGGGCAGCTTCCAACCCTTTGGCTTGTGAGATGGTGTGAGAAGGCGGAGTGAGCTCCAGCATGTGCTGGGCCAGTGTGGCCTGGGCAGATGCCTCCACCAGCCCCAAGCAGCCCTGCTCTGGGCCAGGAGGATGCCTGGAGCTTCGAGCCACAGGAGTTGCCTGCCTGGAGGACTGCCATCTCCTGGGCTGCAGAGCTGTCCCAGAAGGGTCCCAGCCTCTTCTCATCTTGAGGAGCCCATCCTGCTGGGATGTCAATCAGCAACCCTTACACTTTCAAGTAACCAGTGCCCTCACAGTGCTGGGGCATGTTGTGGTGGCCCCAGGAAGCACAGACCACCAGCTCTCTTTGCTGCAAGTAGAGGGGAGGGGTGTCCTTGCCACTGATTTGGGGATGCTCATGTCCACGGGGCTGCAGTGTGGCTCTGTACTCTCCCTTTGGCTGGGCAGCTGCAGGGTTACACCTTCCTGGTGCCCATCAGTCACATCCGTTGTATGCACTTGTACCTCCTGAGCAGTTTTGATGAGATCCACTGGCCTTCAGGACTGCAACGTCACTGACACGTCTTCAGAGGGACAGCACAGAGGAACCCTTCGGTGCTGTTGTACTTATGTGTGCAAGTTACAGAATCATGGAGTTGTTATGGTTGGAAAAGACCTTTAAGATCATCAAATCCAGATATTAACCCAGCACTGCCAAGGCCACCATTAAACCATGTCCCTCAGCACCACATCTCTACGGCTTTGAGATCCCTCCAGGGATAGGGATGCCACCACTACCCTGGGCAGCCTGTGCTGGGGCCTGACAACCCTTTTCCAGGAAGAAATTGTTCCCAACAGCCAATCGAAATCTCCCCTGGCACAACTTGAAGCTCTTTCCTCTTGTCCAGTTTCTTCTTCCTTGGGAGAAGAGACTGACCCCCCTGGCTCCAACATCCTTTCAGGGAGTTGAGAGCAAGATCTCCCCTTAGCCTCCTTTTCTCCAGGCTGAACATCCCCAGTTTCCTCAGCTGCTCCTCATCACACTTGTGCTTCAGACCCTTCCCCAGCTCCATTGCCATTCTCTGGACAAGATCCAGCCTCTCAATATCCTTCTTGTGAGGGGCCCAAAACTGACCCCAGGATTTGAGATGTGGCCTCACCAGTGCCAAACACAGGGAGACAATCCCTGCCCTGGTTCTGCTGGAGACACTAGTGCTTAAACAAGCTGGATTGCTGGATCAGTCCTTGCTGATGTATTGCCCTTGAGTGCTGCCAGCAGCCCCTCCAAGCCCTGGCCCTGCTGGTGGCCATGGCTGTGCCCTGTTGGGGCTCCCCTAGGCTGATCTGTTTCCCCCTGTCTGGTCTGGCCCCCAGGGCCTTCCATCCCCAGCACTGGGATGTGACTGATGTCTCTCCCTGCAGGCCTACAACATCCACGTGAACGGGGTGTTGCACTGCCGAGTGCGCTACAGCCAGCTCCTGGGGCTGCACGAGCAGGTAGGGAGCTGTCCCCAGCCCTGGGGTGGGGGCAGAGCACCCACCACCTCCCTGGTGGCTCCCGCACCACTCTGCTCTCTTCCCAGTTAAGGAAAGAGTATGGCGCTAATGTGGTCCCAGCCTTTCCCCCAAAGAAGATCTTCACCCTCACCCCGGCAGAGGTGGAGCAGCGGCGGGAACAGCTGGAGAAGTACATGCAGGCTGGTAAGCTGGGTCTGCCCCGTGCTGTGGCTCCAGGCCAGCTGCCCTGGCTCCATTGCTCTGGGCACTGTGGCACTGCCCCCTTTGCTAGGGCCCATCTTGGAGCTCCCAGTCCTGCTCTGGTCTTAGCTGGCCTTGCCAGCTCCCCTGCCCCAGCCCCTTCCCTGCGCTGGTAGAGCTGGAGACTCGCTGTTGCCTCCAGCCATGGCTCTGCCTGCTGCACATGCTTCAGCTGCAGGCTCTGAGGGGCTTGCAGGGCAGATGGGTGTTGGGGTGGGTCCCTGTCCCTTCCCACCTCGTGGCTGCTTTCCTGTTCACCTTCCACCCGCAGTGCGGCAGGACCCGACGCTGGGAGGCAGTGAGACCTTCAACAGCTTCTTGCGCAAGGCCCAGCAGGTGAGGGGGGGGCAGGAGCTGCTGGATGTGGTGGGGGGGCTGCTGGGGGGGGTGGCGC